AGGCCACTTCATGATTAATACCAGGAAAAACTCTTTCACAGTCAGGGTGTCCAGACTGTAGAATAAGCTCCCTCCAGAGCTGGTGCAGTCACCTACCCTGGAGGTTTTCAAGAGGAGACTGGACAGTCACCTCGCTGGAGTCACCTAACCCCAGTTGTCTTCCTGCCTAGAGCGGTGGGGCTGGACCCAATGATCTGCAAGGTCCCTTCCAGCCCCTAACATTTATGAATCTATGAACTAGGATACAGGGTGTAAAGTGAGAGGTCTGATAACACTCCCCTCTGTCTGTGCTTTGAGGGTGCCTACCAGCTCTTGCCCTGCACATAAGCTACATGGAAGAATGCACTGACTATACACCTTGAGGAACCTTAGCCTTGTGGTTGGCCAAGCATCTCAACACTATCAATACTCAGGCAGTGGTGCAGTGCCTATGCCCAGAAGCAGCAATTTATGTACCTGTAGAATGTCATTGCCCCTAAGGCTAGGGACGAGGGGGCTGAGGGTCTAAATGGTGGACTGAAACTTTGTTGTATCCTGTTCTGGAAAAAGGGGGCTCTGGTGTTGGTGGAGGAGCCTAGGCACTAGTGTACTCCAGCTAAAGAAAAAAAGAGAAAGAAAACTTACACAACCAGTAGCAAAGGGTAGTGCACAGTGTCTGCAAAGGTTGCCGGTTTTAAGATTTGCAATGGCAGTTCTAGGCAAAAGCAACAGATAATTAAATAGTTTTAGTATGGAAATGTCAACATAACTATAGTAGATTTTTATGGTGTTATAGTCATATAACAGGAATAAAATGACATTTCATAAGATACTCTGATAAATAACATTCTAGAAAGATATGTGTGGTCAAGAATACGGCTCTCGTTGCAATAACCACGGTGACAAGAAATTTAAACCTAGAGTGCAGTGTGACCTGTTCAGTCAGGCATCACTTATACAACATGCAATTAATATCTGGCAAAAGCTATAATTTTCCCTTTAGGCAGCTGGATAAAGGACATGGCCAAGAATCAATACTATTGGGTGGTGGGGGAGGGAGGAAGGAGTGAAAAAGGATAGTTTAAGCTAAAAGGAAGCAGGATATAAATGCCAAATAAAACATAGTCAATGGCATGGAAGATTTTCTTGCTTTAGGGGCTTAAAGACAGTTACAGGATTTCCCTTGTAATCCTAAATTTCAGGGGCCCAATTTTGATCTCACTTACTCTGGTATAATATAAATCAGGAGGTAAATCAACTGATGTCAATGAAGTTACAGTGGTGTCAAATTAGTGTAAAAAAGAGGTGAGTTAGATCCAAGTTGTGCTATGGCACCTGCCAGAACTTTGTTTAACTGCAGCTATATGCTCTTCTCGGCCACACGCTGGTATGAGAATATGCTTTCACGTCAACACTTTCTATATTCACAAAAGCACATTTGTTTTCAAAACATTAACTATAGTCCAGATGACCAAAGGCGCAGCAATTAAATCAGTATTAGCACCAGTTTCAATAGAATTAATACACCGATTAACCATCAGGTTTACGTGGTCTGTTTTGCAGTCATTTTCTGACACTCAATTTAATTAGTTATTCCATCTGAATGCTAATGGACTGCAAACTGGATCGATGGAAAAGACAGCTCCTTGATTTTAAAGAGACATAAACATGGCAGGCACGGTTCTGGGTCCCATTCAGCCTTTTGGGCAGACTGTGGGAAACATGGTGAGGGAACACAAAAACACGCACATGGTTATTGTCTACTTGTATTACACAAATGCCCGTGTGCACGCATACGTATGTGTACACACAGTGAACCAGAGCAGACAACATTTGCAGTTAAGAATTTTAGCAACAACTCTTGAATTATTAGGAATAAATGTAAACTATAATCGGGAGATGGTTCAAGCAACCTGGATAGAGCTGGATATTACTGACAGGTTGTTGTCAGTGTTATGTCCCTGCTCCCAGCGCTGCTCAGCTCCCAGCTGTCCCCAGGCACAGGCAGTGGGGAGCTCTCTGTCCCCTCAGCCTTGCTGCTTCCTGCGCAGCGCATCGGCTTCTGCTCCCTTCCCACGCTCGGGGACAGCCAGGAGTTGAGCAGTGCTACAGTTGCAGTCAGCTCCCTCCCCTGTTGCCTAAGCTGACTGGGAGCAAATTGTACCCTGTCAGCATCTACACATGAACTACTGCACAGTAGCTAATGTATCATTAATCTACTAGTAAACGTTGGTACTAGTAAACGGTGCATTAGCCTAATTTACCGTGCAGTAAGTCCTGTGGATGTGTAGATGCTGATGCTTTGCTGTGCATTAGATTAGTCTAATACACAGTAAAGCATCTTGCGTAGACGCACCCAGTAACACGCTCTCCAGCATACCTTATTGCTTACTGTTATTCCATATCATATCTGAAGGGATATATTATATTACTCTGCCTACACTAGTCCTCAGTTACTCCAATCACAAGGAAAATGTTAATGGACACATTTTCAGGCCTGCCTTCTTGGTTGCTTCTTCAGAATTGTCAAGTATCTGCAGAGAGGAGGATTGCTGGGAACCAGTAAACATTTCGGAGAATTTGAACAGGGGTTTTGCACATGTGCGCTTGTAACAAAACAGATGCTCTTCCAAATGCTGCAGGTGCAGGAAAGGAAGCTGGTAGGGAATATTTGGACTTTTAGGCCCTAACTACATCTACTTGGTATATTTGCTGGTATCTTTGTTCCCATCCTTTACTTCCCGCCCCCCCCCCCCCTTTTTGCAGATAGAAGAGGAGAGAATACTTAATTAAGAAGTGGCACCAAATTTTTTTTTTTTAAAAATGCTAATTTAAACAACTCTTAGACTCATTCTTCTCTATTGTAATTAAAGCAAAGCCTGCCCATGCTTTTGCCTTTAAACTTTTGTTTGTCTTCCGATGTCTAACACTTCACGTGGTTTGCACGGAAAAGTTTTAATTATTGAGACCGAAAGTCTTTATCACGGCTGTTTCCCCATTGGTGATTCTGCTCCATTCACTGCAATTTACTGCTCTGTAGTAAGAGGCTGCTGCACTTGGAGCTAAAAAGCACATGCAACATACCATTTCAAACTTATCTTCAATAATAAACAGGCCTGGCTGGAGAGACTGCCTCTTGCATTAGAGGCAGATCCACACCATGTCATTTCCCAGTGTGTTTTTTTTTTCTTAAAAGATAACAGTTATATTCATCTTTTTTCCTTCTGTCTGTTCTCATAATGACTTCCTTCTATACAGAGTGTGCGGATGCAGAGCTGCCCAAAGTGGCTGCCTTAACTGAGAACCAAAGTAAGTTTTCCCCTGCTAATCTAGTTCAGATGATTGTACCGTTTCAGAGCAATAACATTAAAAAAAAAAAAAAAGGACAGACGGACAGACTTACTGTAATCATCTATCCTGATTTCCATGTACTCCACTTTAGGCATTTGCCTATCACTTACAGCCAACTGCACATTTTCATTCACCTCCAGCTCAAAGATTTCTGAAAGAAAAAGGATGAAAACAACACAGATGTAGCAGTTCATGGACACAGCCTCTTAACATTTTATGTAAGCCCTTCATGTTTGCAATGCAAATTTCTTTTAGATGCACACAGTCCTCACAAAAGCCTGTGATGTGCGATGCACAGTTAAAATGCAGTAGTTACTTTGTACCCTTCTAAAACCTACATCAGATCCAGAGATGTTCATTATCATCCTTGGACCAGATGAAGTTCTGGTGTAAACTGGCATCCCTTGAAACTCATGAGGTACTGCACTGAGACCAGCTGAGGATCTAGCCTTCAAAATCAAGTTGCTGTAGCAGGGTTTCAGTCTTGCACAAAACAAAGACAGAGACAACAATGAGAAGGGTGAAATCCATGGATTTTAAAAGCTCACTCTGGAGCTCACACTGAATGGGAAAAGAGGATATTTTTCTTCAGTGCACAAATGTACATTTGTTCAGATTTTCACTCTAGAGGAAAATATTCTGTTGGTGAGTTCTCCAGGCATGGGAAATCAACAGGAAGCAGTTAGCAGTCTCTACATAGAGCATCGTCCACTGTCCACAGCACAGCTTTGCGAATCGCAGCTAAGCTGTCTTTCCATTTTAAAATCATCCTCAGCCTTACACTACAGACACGCACAAAGAGCAACATGAAGGGATGCTGCATGCGTTGTGGAAGAATTTTGCTGCTAAAAAGACTAAACCCTAGGTTTTGGAAAATAACTGAGTATCTCCGTTATGGATGTCCTACTTGCAGCACCCGGGAGAGAGGCTGCCCAGCTCCCGCCACCTCTCATGGGATGCTCGGGTGCTAGATAGTGGCGTGGCTCTACCCTGCAGGCAGTTACCTAGGGTGACACATTCCTTTCAGCTGTTTCGCTGCCTCCTGCTGAGCTGTCCCTTCCTCCAGAAAGATGCTCACCAGGTGCCACCTCCTTCCCTCCCACCCAGGCTGCAGCTGAATGCTGATCAGCTGAGCTGTTTCCTGCTGGGCAGCAACCTTAGTCCTATTATTATGAAGCCTATTACGCTAAAGATAGTCTCTGGCTGGCTCCTCGCTCCCAGGCAGTAGGCCAGCAGCTGTGTTCCTCCTTTCCGAACAGTGTAACAACTGATCTGGAGCTGCTCCGTGTGCCCAGCAGTGGCTGACTGCTTGGCAGAGCTCGGAGGGACACCCAGCAGCAGCGTGCGGTAGGGGGAGAGGAAGCCAGGGCAGCGTGCAGTCCAGGTTCTGCTCTCGACATCTCTGGTAAGACTCACTGTCTTTTCCCCTCTCCTTGAGGGAAGTCCTGCTTTTCCCAGTAACTTGTAAGGGCTGGATAGATCTAACCATAACCACACTTTGGGATCTTGATGGTACCTTCCTGGTCTGGGAGCTTGCAGCTTGTCAGGGTCAGTCCAAAAAAACAAAGTCTCTGCAGGGATGCTATCAAATGAGCAGGTCTCAGCACCAACACATCTCCAACGAAGTACCTGCCTGGTCCTGGCTTCCCTTACGTCCATCCAGCTGTAACTCCCTAATTCCTAGATGCTGTGGCAGAGGTCTCAAAGCAGATTCCAAAAGGGACTGTAGTGAATTCATCTGCTTAAGTCCAAAATGTAGATGCTCAAAATCACCGTTCAGGTGCCTCCTAACCCTAAAGTTGCATAACCTCCATAGGTACCTCAATTTTCAGCATGACGTTGAACACCTCTGCAGAAGATTGATATTTTGCCTGCCTGCATATCCAGAAGTGCCTCCAGCTTCACAGGTCTGCACAGCCCAGTGGCTAGCTGAAGACTTAGTCCAATCTGGATCCAGAAACCAGGCATGATTCCCCAGGGGAAAAGCTCCACCTACGCCTCTTGAAGGGCCTATCTATCCTGCAGGGATTCTTGGAACATGAATTGGGCTCTGCAAAAATGTAGTGACCAACACCACTTTGAAAATATGGGCTTCCAAGAGGCAGTGGGAGCGCTGCCAGTCTCAGCCCCAGCTCAGTGATTTGATTAGCATATTCTTCCAGGATGTGGCAGACCCTGCTTTGATTCTTATCTCTGCCAAACCCATCCTTCAGGCCTAACCACCTGGCTTTACACTAGGCTCTATACTGGGTAAGGGCCCTCTCTAACCCTCTTCTCTACATGCCCGGAGAATTAAAATTCATAAGCTGAGTGGCAGAAAGCATGGTTAAGCAAGTACTAAATGACTGCACAGTCACACCTGAGCAGTCCGCCGCACACGTAGATGTGCCCAGAGTCATGCCACCTCTTGCTCTCTCTCCCTGGTCCAGCGAATCATGCTCTTATGCAAAATGGAAAAGCTTTAACAGGAAATTTGGAAAATTTCTCCCCATTAGCACCAAACGATCCTGAGTCAAGTGTTTAGTCAGCTGGGGGTCTGAATCCCCTCAGACAGAAAGAAAAAGAAACTGCACCTCCCACACGCTGGGGAAATGCTCTAACCACTGAGATATTGTATAATAGGGGACACCTGCCACCCTTGGAAAGAGGGACTCCTGCTGTGTTGATGAAGCGCCCGTTTTCCAGAGAACGCTTGGGGATGTTAATCCAGAGCGACCGGAAGTGATTCCTAGTAGGATGGAGTAAGGAGCCTGAGCCCTGGAAAGGGGTGGATTTAAGGCACAATCCCATCCTCACTCTTTTTCTATTGGCTAACTCTGGGCAGCTCCCCGCTTGGCAGACTGGCTTTTGTGTGTCTCATTCTCCCCCTTCACAGGGCTCACATAGGGAGCAGAGGTGATCAACTCAGCTAGGGAGGGCCAGGCACCTAAAACGTTAGGTATCACAGAGCTCAGCATTGGACCTGGCCCCTAGTGCCAGAGCTCTGACACAAGATCCCTTCTTGACAGAGAGGCAGTTTATTCCTTCCCTCCGTTCTGTGATACACGGCCTCTGACACGGGAAGGTCGGGTTCGGTGGCTTTGAGTTGGAGCTAGGTTTCCTCTGCTTGCACGGAGGCATTAGACTCCACCTACAAGGACATCTTCTACAGGACCCATCCTTCAGTTCACCCTAACGCAATCCCTCTTAAAATCAAATCTGGGTTTGCCAACACCTTCAGGGTCTTTCAGCTGAGGATCAGACCCAAATGTTTTTCTTCTCTGGGATGATTATAAATATGCCATATTTAATATTAAAGTCCAGATAGAATATGGAAACTCCCAATGCTAAATTACACATTCAATTTGGTGACAATTCTGGTTGCACACTATTGTATCCTCTCCGCCCACAAAAATATTACTGTAAGTAGTTCGTGCTCATGTCCTGACTCATATTTATCTGTGCCTCTATTCAATGACTAGATAAAAGCAGGCACGAGACAAAAACATGCTTTTCCAGTGATTTAATGCATTTCACAGATCTTTCAGCGAGTGGCTATATCGGTTCAAAGACTATTCAACTTGTTTCTGAAAAGCCTGCCTCATCTCTATTGAAATTGTAACCCCCACAAAAGCTCCAAAGCAACAGACTATTAAGTTTAGTTAAATATTAGGATTCTCATTTAATTATGGCCCACACAACTAGCTTTATCAGCAGAAAGAGGTCTGCCACACAGGGGAGTTCAGTAAAGCCATTTTATTTGTTCATATAATTGCATCCAGAGAAAGGCAGAAACAGAGTAGAGGAAATAAGAAAAGACTGGCATATCTCCTAAAGGACCCTCTTTTCTGCTTTAGGGCCATAGGGAACCCTAGCCTGTGAAGTACAAATGGTCATTGCTTAATTAAATGTAAGCATGCTATAATAGTCAGTGCAACTCACTATTATCAGATGATTGCAGAATACCGAGACAAACTCCCTTTATGGAGTAGTGCCTTAAAATTAAATAAATACATTCAGTAACATCCAACTGCCATCATTACCTCCTTTATTCAAAAGCAACAAAATGCTGGAAAATGAGGGACCAGGGGAAATGCTAATCAAATGCAAAAATCAGATATTTTAGTACAGAGGATGAGTTTTGTGTGTGCCTGCATCTAATTATCTATGCAGCAAATACTATCACTCCCCAAGTGCACTACAGCTCTGGCATGTTTTATACCCCTTACTTCAAGCATTTTATTTGCTTTTAATATGCTATGGTGGCTCTTACAAGACACACCTAAGAGTCATTTATAATAATATACACAGGCGTACAATTCTCTGCCATTGCCATTACAATTCTCTTTTCTGTACGTGGTGTTTTTAGAAAAAACAAACTTCTTGGTGTCAAAGGAAAAGGGGGAAGCTAAGATCAGGAGCACTCATTAGAGAAGAGCTCATATAATTCCTCCCATCCTTAAAATCACAGTTCACCAAGTTAACAAAGCACACGACTGGGGAAAGTGTTTCTGGCAGCCTTTCAGGCCAGGATAAAAATTTGGGCCAGTAGAAGCATAAAGGGTGTTCTGGTAAACTTTAGCAGCCTAAGTACCAGAAAGACATGCAAACTGTCCCTGCACTAGGGGCCCCCAAACATATTATATGCCTAAAGGCATTAGGTGCCTCCTTTTGGACTGTAAAGTCCCCTAAGCACCTAGACTGTGGCTCTGGGATACCCACTGCAAGCACTGTCTTCAGGCTCTTTTGTGATTCAAACTGGTGCAGAGAGGTGCCCAGCCTCTGCTTATGTCCCATAACAGGTCCCAGCTATAAGTGAGGAAAAACCTGCCATGTCTAACACCCCTCTGGAACGCAGCCTGGACCTTGCCATCTCATACGCAGGCTGCTGCTGCAGGCAGGGGGTGCAGACAGCCACCACAGAAGGCACATGGGGCCACTAGGATCAGGCACGGTTTAGACATACCGTGGGAGAATCAGAGACAAGATGCCCAAGAGGAAGACAGTGAAAAATACCTGGCAGAGTCTGTCTGGCTCTGAGTGGACTGCTTGCCGTTACACAGGCAGGGCTGCATGGAGGCACTGATGCACAACACTACTCACTACATATACATTACTCCAGTCCTCACCCTCTCATTGTGTGCTCTGCTCCAGCTGACCAAGCGGAGTATGACGGCACACCCTCAGAAGGTATAGTCCTGGCTTGTTGCATCCTTCACTACCTAGCCATGCTACATGGCTGAGGGGGGAAGCATGTCAGAAAGGGGATGAGGAGCTGGCAGAAGACAACAAGAAGGAACCAAAGCCCAAAAAGAAAGAAGGGGAAGGCTGCAGAGCCCGAGGATCATAATTCAACCCCAGAGAAGACGCAGAGAAGAGCTCAGGTATCCAAGCACTTTGCTGCTCTTGCCCGTTGGGCAGGGGAAGAAGGATATGGCTGGAACATATGATTTTTGGCTCGTGCTCCTTGCTCCTGTTGCCTGCCATGCCAGCAAATAAGGGAAAGCCAAACTCCAGGTGAGTGCAGAAACCTTCCCGTTTATAAACAAAATGTCCTGGCTGGGCAGTGACTTCCCACAAACACACAGGCTAAATAGAAAGGACTGAAGAAAGAAAAGGGGCAGTTTTGGTTTAGGCTCACTAGCCTAAATGGAACAAAAAGCTAGCTCTTTCCGCAGGAATGGTGAAGGAAACCCGACTGTGAGAGATCAGATCTGGTATGCCTTTCAATAGGCAGGGGCGGCTCTGTCCTGGCCCTGGGGACTTGATCCAAATGATCATCTGATCCATGGGATTGGGCAAGAGGCAGCCCCAGGTCTGAAGCATGTGCCACATGTTCACTCTGAAGCGGGATACAAACCATTCAAGGAGGTGTTTAAATCTTTCTGGCTGGTTTGCCATTTTATCCCACCATAAATTGTTTGCACTTGTGGCATGTTACAATTTGTGTCCATAACATGATAAATGTAACCTCTGGCAGGGGCAGTTTCCTTCCTTACCCATAAAGCCCCTTGCAGGAAGAAGTGATCTGGTGCTACCATTGCTCGCTGTGCTTGTGTCCACATGTTTCCGTACAGGATGCTTCAGCGCTAACAGCATCTTTTAGCTCTTATATGGCACTTCTAATCCATAAATTTGAAAGCTCTTTACAACAGAGGTAAGCATCACTATCCCCATTTTCCAGAAGGAGAAATCAAGGCATAGAGAAGCAATATTATGTGGCCCAAGGTCACCCAGCAGACCAGGAGCCAGAGCCAGGAAAAGAATGAAGGTGTCCTGGTCCAATGCTGTACCCACTGGATTTCACTGCATTAAGCATTTTTGTCAAGGATTTCATTTTTGTCTCTCAAACGCAACTTCTCCCAGGGACACTGCTGACTTCTGTTCACCTCACTTATGAGAATTTCTCCATGAAGAACAATTTGAATTTAAAAAGGGAAACTGGAGGGGGTGGCCAGCTGAACATTATGGTGAAACGTACAGCACATCTTCTCTGACAGCATTGAAACCGAAGCCTGCTCTGTTACTCGGTATTTGTAAGTCACCCACAAAAGCTGCATTAGGTCTCAAATATGACTTATGTTGCACCTTGATTTTTGCATTTCTATAAAACTGTGCCTAGGCAAGCACTGACCTTTATTTGTTGCTTCCTCAAGCATCCCTGAAAATCTAAAGTACTCATCTTCTCTAACTCTAATTTTGCATCACCATAATTGCATTCCTATAGGAGATTTAAAAACGTTCAGATAAACATCTGTGGCAGTGCATTGCAGGTTGTTTCTGTGCAAGGCTCTTCTATACAGAGGGAGGCAAGGAGATGGATCATGAACAAGGAGGATGCAGAGAGCAGGATGCGAGAAGTCATGTGTTTTGGAACGGGGAGCTTTTCTTTGACACTGATACTATGTTTTTAATAGGAGATGGAGCAAGGGGTGCGAGTAGATTTCATAGATTTCACAGCCATTGAGGCAGAACGGACCTCGTAAGATTATTGGGTCCAGCCCCCTGCCCAAGGGGCAGGGAAGTCAGCTAGGGTCAAAGGACCCCGGCAAGATAAGCATCCAACTGTTTCTTAAAAGTATCCAGAGTAGGTGCTTGCACCACCTCTGGGGGAGCCTATTCCAGGCCTTTGGGGCTCGAACAGTAACAAAGTTTTTCCTTATGTCCAACCAAAAACGGTCTTGCAGGAGTTTGTGACTGTTGGACCTTGTCATCCCTTGGGGCGCTTTGGTGAACAGGCGTTCCCCCAGATCCCTGATGTACTTATAGGCTGCCACCAGGTCCCCCCCGAGCCTGCGCTTCTCCAGGCTGAAGAGTCCCATGGCTCTCAGCCTCTCATCATAAGACCTGTTCTCTTGCCCTCTGATCATGAGCCTCTTCTGGCCTGTTCTGATATGATTTTATGGTTTATCTGAGGGACAGGGTCCATGAAGCAATGCTAGATTGTTTAAAATGTAGAGGCTTGTTATTATTAGGAAACGATAGTGCTGGCTACTCAGCCTCTTTCATACTATTCCTACGCTCGGAAAAATCTGCCCCCTTTCTCTGTGGCGACCTCTTCCCTTCCACTTCACTAAAGCAGGGATGTCAAACATATGGCCCGTGGAGGGGGGTCATCTGGCCTGTGAGGCTTCTCGTGGACCAGATGATCCACTTCCAGGTTCAGCCCAGGGGCTACTGGAGCAATTGTGTTAGTGCGGCTCGGGAACCCAAGGGGTTGGCACTGCCCCCACTCCCCTCCTCCTGCCTCCCTGGATTCACCGCTGGATTTGTTTTCTTCACCACTGGCACCTCTTTTGGGAAGCCCTCTCATGATTGCTGCTTGCATCAGCGCTCTGTTCTTGGGTCTGCCCACGCTCCTGCATTGTGGTGTCAACCTACCAAGGAGGGACTGTAATGCGAGTGAGTGTCATTGTAAATACTCAGTGCAAGGAACTGGCCGTCTTTCTTTGTGCGTATAAAGATCTTGGCACATTTAAAGGGAAGTTACACTTATCTGAGGGGCAGAGTGAGGTACTGGCCAACACGGATATCCTTTATCAAAATGCTCTTTCAACTGAAAATCAGCCCTGTTCCTCAGTGGGGGATTCCTTGGGACTCTCTCACGGCAGAAACAGAGGGGTTGGTGGTAAAACACAGCACCCGCAGTTATCAATGAAGGGGTCAAGAAAACATTGACTCCCAGAAATGCTACACTAATTTTGGAGGTTCACCAAATCTATCCCAAGAACTGTGTTTACTCTCTTCTAGCCTCTGACAGCTTCGTGGGGGCCTGGATTATCTTTCCTTTCCCTAGCAGTTAAACCAGCTAGGACTATCTGTGCAAGATTTCAGCATTCCTTCATGTGCATAGACCCATCCCATATTTCAATGGTGCTAATGAGAATTCACTACCCTGGCAACACTCCTGCAGAAGTGGCAAGTATCACCGTAATTTCTTGCATACAGTATATGTCCTCAGAATAAAACAGGCACCTTGTTTTTGAGAAGCAGAATGAAGGAGGAAAAAGATCTTCCTTTGTAGTAAGCAACTGAGTAGCAGCAGCCCAAGTGGGGCTGGAGTTTGGTGGGCAGCTCCAGTGGATTTTCAAAAGGATGTGGGCCCCAAACTGCCCTCTGTGCCTTTGAAAATCCCCTACCTCAGTAATACTTACTATCTGAAAGCAGAGAGACAGCATGATGACAAATCGGATTGCCATTTGTGACCATGCTCCATATCCTGATCATTTCTCTCATGGATTTGGCTCACAGTGTTAAAGCTGAAGTGTTTCCCGTAGAGCCGGTGGTATGGCAGTATGGCCCATGGGGACTACACTCACTAAAAAGTGACGATCTATCTTTCTTGGAGTGTTTCAAACAACGGGATACACTTACAGGCAAGATAAGCATGGCCTGACTGGACTTCTAGCCTCCATGGGTTATACTTCTACAGCAATCTGCAGTTATTACTTATTTTTTATATTATGATGGTGCCTATCAGTAATCAGGACTCCACTGTGGTAGGTGCTGTACAAATGCTTAATGAAGGCCACAAAGAAGTTACTGTATAGACTTCAAAAGGGTGCAAGAGGTAGATGAAACAAGATGAGAGAGTGGAGGAGGAGAGAATATTAAAACATGCATGTCTAGCCGTAGTGAGCTTTACTCCTAGCTCACTAAAAATTTGTTGTGGCACTTTAGCTGCTGCCAGCTAGTCCATGCCACCCACACTTTGGCAAAGTCTGGGCTGCACCAAGGTAAGTTTACTGAAGAACAGCAATATCTTTGAATGGACCAATTGTCTATCTGGGAGGGATACAGGCAAACTTTCAGGTAGTGAGTACCCTTCATGCTACTTGTTATCTAAAAGCTTGCATATATCCTTCCCAACTCTATAGCTGGCCCACTAAAAGACAGGACCTACAAAAATCCTTGCCTCTAGCATTTTTCCTGGATCATCAAAGCTACCACATCACTGCAATACTACCAAAGAATGGTGGCATTTTATCACATTGCCTTGTGTCTTTTCTTTAAAGCGTTACAAAGCTCAGCCTGTTACTTACTTTCTGTATCTGTTGTGTTGTGAACAGTCACTATTGGAACTCTTGGACCTTGAAGAAAAAGAGAAAAGAGGCATTTGGTGAAAATGCACAAGTGCAGATACGTGTGTACAAGTAAGTTTATACATATGAACTTGCTTTTGGATTTCTTGAAGCTAGAGACCTCTGAGAATTACATTTCATGGAAAAGCAATCAAAAGAAAATCACCCAGGTATTAATAGCAGTCTATGAGTAAATGACAGTTCTGTAAACTCCCAGACATGTGAGGTTTCAAAGCCCTTTCCCAGTGGGCTGCTAAATGCATCTCTCTCTAATTTGTAAACATTATAATTAGCACAAACACAATTAAAATACCTTGCTTTTTAGATTATTCTAATGACACACAGACATCATTACACAAAGCATTTACATTTTATATGCCCTAGATACTAGCTGCTGCTACAGAGACACTACATAACCCATCCCGATCTCCTCCTATTTATTTGGTTCCAATAATAAAAAAGATCAGCGGCTTCATCCTCAGTGTGTGATATCTGGCTACTGAGATCAGCCAGTTTTGCAAGGAGGATTCTGACCCTGATTCTTATTCTTCTGATGTAGCAGCAATATTGAGCATGCGTAAGTACATGGTGTCCTCAGGTGCTGTAGAAATTGTGGCAAGTGCACTACACACTTGCAAAATGTGGGCAGCAGCTAAGTGAAAGAATTTAACCATTGCTTGGCAGGAGAACTGAAAGTAAGGACCAAATCCTGCCCTTGCTGCTGAAGGTAGAAGAAGGATGGGTAGAAAGGTGGGATCTGCCATTCCATGCTGGGAGTTCAATGAGCTGGGTATGCTGTCACTGATGTGTTGATGTCGATGGGGGAAAGCTCACTGATGGTCACAGTGTCATCCAAACCCCAGAGATTTTGGTTGACTTGTTCTCTTTTTCTTCTCCCAGTGACATAGGGAGCAGTAATGAAGAGGGCACCTGGCCACACTCCCAGCCAACTATGTGGTGGCACATGCACTCTTTTTGGAAGGAAAGCAAGGTGCTCCTCGCACAGGTTATCATCCTGAGCTGCTGGCTCCAGTGCCAGGCTTATCGCCAATGCAGCTCCTTTCTCTGCAGCCAATGCAGGCTCATATCTTAGAGGCAGGGCTTTGCTCTGAGCATGCATAGCATGGATTTCCCACACAAACCATGAGTGTTATGTGGATGGGTTGACCAAAGAAACCACAACATTTAAAGTCAACTGCTTAGGAAATGGAAGAAGGCTTGTCAGAAGCCTTTTCTCTTCCCTCCCTTAAAGTTGGCACTGGAGAAGTCTCAGAAAACCTGGTGCCTTTCTGCCATGCTCCCTGTGTTGCCTTGACCAACAGAACGTGGAAAGTGAGCTGAAAGCCTCCGCAAAGGGCTTCATCCTGAGAAGTGGCAAATGTTCTCGCCCACTGCCACCCGTGCACTTAAACCCAGGCGTAGTCTTCAGTGCTTCCGTCAACTCATTCAAATGAACTAACTTCAGTTTGCAATGCTCATCTCTTTTCAGGACCAAGGCCTGAACCACGGACCTGGTTAAGAAACTAAATCCATATGCCAGTGCTGTTATTTTGTTTGGGGGTATTGCCCCCCCCGCTTCTC